TTTTAGAGTGGAGCATGGTGAGCATTGAGGGTTGAGTTGCATGGTGAGCTAATATATGAGGGTTGAGTGATGTGAGATCATAAATCTATTACATATTTGTGTTATAATCTTGTCTTTTGCAGGTTGTCAAGCCGGTTTCTTAGTAGGGAAGAGGGTTGAGTTTGGTGAGGTTCTACTATTTGTGTGATGAGGGATGTGAGCAATATACCTTTTCTCTAACTATTTGTTCTGCAGATTGTAAAGCTGGCACTCTTGTTAGGGAAGTCTTTGTTGTGGGTTGAGTGTGAATTAGCTCATATACTGTTTGGAGTATTGAGTGCTGAGTAATTGTATTTGTTTGCACTTATTTTGTTCAATCCTCCCCCTCATGGTCTTTGGTATGTGGAGTTTGAACAAAACCTTGTAGTGCAACATCTACATATTACCTTGGCTAGGTAGAATGGTTCTTCTAGCCTATTGTAAGGTTGTTGTTTGTGCTATGTTGTCTGTGCTGTTGGCTTTATGTTGTTGGTGCTAGTTGCTGTGATGCTGGTCTTCTGTGTTGCTGGTTCTGGTTTGCTATTTATGCTACTAGTAATGGTGTTGATATGTTGTAGTGATGATAACCAGTTATAGTTCTGTTGTTTTGCTGAGAACAAAGCTGAGAAAACTTCTTCAACCGATAAGCTTTTAAACAAAGGTGAAAAACAGAACACTTATCATTAAACTAGCATATCATATGTTTTGATTTACTATGTTATTAAGAACCTAAATGTTATCTGTTCCTTTGGTTGTTGTTGTTGTTGTTTTTTTTTTTTTTCACTTGCAGGTGTATACAGTAATTATGGTGGTATATGGGTGGATGAGGAGTAAGTTTAGTAGTTTATTTGATTTTGAAAGGAAAGTATGTGAGATCAAATATTTTATTAGTTGCAAATATATCTTAATATAACATGTAGACATCTACTTCTAAGTCACCATGCAAGTTCATTTGGTTGTTGGCTCTTGTACCTTGCATATGTTGACATGCTAAATTCTCATGTTTTGGCAGGTCGTCCCTACAGCTTCTGTTTTTGGTTCATCATGGACCAATTGGCAACAAATATTTGCACACACAAAGTAAGTTTTCTAATTTTGTTGGCAACTTATACTTATCAAAATATGTGTACGTGTGTATGTATATAATGTTATTGGAAAACAAAAGAAAATAAAAAGAACTAAGTAGTTATTCTGGTTCTACAATTATCACTTTGCCTAATTTTTAATGATTTTATGATTATCATTAGATTTTGGCGAATTGTTGTCACATTTATCATTCTTTGTTCAATTTATATAATAACTGAGCTATTGTGATGGTTTGCATTTTGCACCCTCAAGCCAGTATGATCTATTGATTATGTGATCTATCTACTTGCTTGTAGAACCTGAGAGCCAATTATTTGGGTATGTTGGTGCATGTTGCCTAAGCTATGTTGTCACATTGTCATCACCCTTATTACAAGGTTACCAAAAGCATATTTGTAATTGTAGTTTATGTCTCTGTTTTAAGTGTACCTTAATTGTACTATTATAAGATCCCTGTGAACACTCAAGTGAGTTGTCCCTAAATGTAATCTTGTATTTTGAAATGGAAAAAAATTATTCTTCTTTTTTATGCTTAAAACAATATTTTAGTGGTTAATTGATGTTTTGTGAAACTTATTTGCAATATTTGTTAGATTGTATAGAATAGGTCAAATATAACATGCTGAATTAAAAAAAAAAAAAAATTGCATACTCTATGGCAGACATAATAGGTCATTGTATTACATATTTTACGACGAGCAATGAGAGTTGTGGTTTGTCCCAGGAATTAACGGCGTGCAAAAATAGTTGTAGAAAACTCGAACACGACGTACAAGATCCACTATTAAAGGGTTTTTAACGACGTGCAAAAGTAGTTATAGAAAAATTAAACATGACTCACAAAATCCCCTGTTAGAGAGTTTTTAATGGCATACTACAACATGCCGTTGAAAGTAAGTGACTTTACATGAATGGTAGAATCGTATCAACGGCGTGCATTTGGTGCCGCAAAAACCCCTTTTTGTTGTTGTGATACTTCTGCACCTCTTTCTTTAATTTATAGTGATGTATGGGGGCTTTTTAATTCTTTTTCTCATGCTTTCAAACTTCTCTTCAAATATTTAGGACTGATGGTGGTTCTGAATTTGTTAATAAGAAGTAAGATTCTTTTCTTACTTCTCATGGCATTATTCATCAAATTAGTTGCCCTTATACTCAAGCCCAAAATGGTGTGGCTGCAAAGAAGCACAAACACATTTCAAAGACTGTTATTTCTCTTATTCATCAATCCAATCTTCTTCTTTCATTGTGGTTTGATGCCATTGCTACCTCAGTGTTTCTCATTAATGGAATGCCTAGTTCCACTCTTCATCTCATCTCTCTTTATGAGGTCTTATTTCAGACTATTCTTCTTTCAAAGTCTTTGGTGGCCAATGCTTTCCTTGGCTCAAACCATACACTCATCATAAACTTCAGCCTAAATCTACTCCTTGTGTGTTCTTACCATCTTTCTATGAAAAGGTATAGGTGTTTAGACCTTTTTACTGGTAAGGTGTATATCTCCAAACATGTGATGTTTAATGAATCCTGTTTTTTTTTTTTTTTTCACCCTTCCTCAGACCTCTTCTTTACATTCCTCCTCTTTTCTTACTCAATTTTTCTAGGGTTTTTCTTATCCTCTGTGTTATTCTCTTCCCCAATCCTCTTTGGCCCCATTTGGTGTAGCTGTTAAAATAGATTATAGATTATAGTTTAACATATTATAGATTATGACTTTAACCAAAAGTTGTTAATCTATTTGGTATAGCTGTTGGATTATAAATTTAAGTTGCTGAGTAGTGTTAGTTAAATAAGTTGTGGAGTAGCTTTTTGCTGTATAAATGTCTTTTTTACCCTTGTTAATTGTAAATTGAATTTATCTTGACTTTTTGCTATTAATTACATATTAGGAGATCATTCCAACACCAAATTAGCATAATGATTTTATTTTTGGATAATAACAATGATATAAACATTACACAAAAATAAATTTATTATATTTTAATAATTATTTCCTTGACAAATTGACATTAAAATCTCATATCTTCTCGAATCCATCTCATAATCATCATTATGAACCGGATGCTCATGTCGGTCTTCCCCTACCACTGCTTCCTCGTCAATAGGGACATACTCAGTATGTTTATCATAGGAGTCAAATGCAATATCCCTTAAATTAGTTAGTCTAATGAAGGTGTGGATCGCCATGGTAGCACAAACAAGTTGTCGTTGACAAACAAAATCATAATTGCATGGAATATCTTTCATAAAAGGCCATATTGCTTTCCAAACGCCAAATGATCTTTCTATTACACTCCTAAGTGACGAATGTGTTTTGTTGAATCTTTCGTGTGCAGTTTGAGAAGTCCGATGGTCAAATTGAGTTAAATGATATCTCTCCCTTTTGTACGGTGCAAGATAACCCTTTGCGTTTGGATAGCCAGAATTAACCAAATAATACTTATCTACAAAGTAAAATATAAACTCATTACAAATATAACTAATATAGAATAAATGAATAAATCTTAATTTGTGTTACATACATACCTCCTTCTGGATATAGAAAATTATTGTTTGGATTCCTAATTGTATCCCAAAAAATTCACATGTCATGTGCACTTCCCTCCCAACCAGGCAAGCAAAAGGTGAAACACATATCAAAGTGACACACTGCCAATATGTTTTGTATAACGTATCTCTTCCTACCTATAAAACGGGGTAAGTATTCTGCTTCCACATGAGCTATGATATGTGTTCCATCAATTGCCCCAATGCAATTCTACATACAAAAAATATCATAAAATATTTTTTTTAAAAGAGAGAGAGAGAGAGAGAGAGAGAGAGTATTTCTAGTTACCTTAAAATGAGGGTAATATTTTCGGCTATTCTCTATGTACGAATGGACCCCATTTCTTTGCCAAGGCTTCACCTAATCCACGGACATTTCACACACGCTTTTAAAACCAAGTGGAAGTATTTTGAAATAGTTTCACTTGATAATTGAAATCTTTCTTGAGCATTTATATTGTTTGCATATTGACTAACAATAAACAAAATAAAATAGCAATGTGTTGTTGAACCCCAACTTTTTCCCACTTTGTAGTTCATAGTTAGTCTCTAATAAATTGCACAATCGATAAAAAACATCCCTGTCCATTCTAAATTTTCATATATTCTTGTAGCATTACCATGTTGCAATTTTAACATCCATTGATGTCCTGTGAGGGCAAATGTCCTACAAGGTTGTTTATTTAGGTAATTTTCTACATAAATTGTTCCAGCCACTACTGCTGCCATTAGGTAGGGATTTCCATACGAGTGATTTAGTTGTTATGAAGATCCAGTGACATTGTCATCATTACCATAATCACCATCATCAGTGAAATTGTCCATCTTTTTATACTGTATAGAAATTAGAGTCATATACCACATTACATAAAATAAATATAAAATTAGAGGATATATATAGACAAAAAATAAAATTAGACAAACATCAACAGAATACTTGCAAAGATTGGAATGTCTCTTGGTTGTTTAACAATTTAGAATGGCAAACAAGTTCACCATGAAAGTATATATAGACATTGTCATTACAATGACCATCATTTAAAATAATATTTTTAAAAAATTGCTTTCCAATCTTGCAGGAAAATGGACAAGTAATAGCTAAAGCGTGTGACCTGGAATTGCAAGGACAAATAATCATATGGCACACAAGTGGGGCAAATACAACTTGCAATAATACTTCCTATTCCACCCTATGAGTGGACAAATACAACTTGCAATAATATTTCCTATTCCACTTGTGAGAGCACAAATTAAATTTGCCAATAAGGCAAACATAAATACAACATCAAGCCAAATTAATTGAAGACAGTCCTAATGTCTTTATAAAAAAAACAAATTCACACAATGAACTAATCACGATAACCAAAAATGTGAGCCTTTTCCAAGGCAATTTCAAGATTAATAAACTTCAAACGTAACACATCATTAGGCAAAGCCATGAAAAACTCACAGAGTGAGGATTTCATGAACAACCTTGCAGCCCAAACTAAAAGGTCATCGCCTTCACTAATGTTAGAGATTGTGCTAATCTTAGCTAAACACTCAGTTATTGTGTGCGGATTTTGCATAGTAACATCCTGTGTACCAGTTGAAGATGATGCCTCTATTGCGTTGACAATACGGTTAAGTGTCTTATTCAACTCACCGGCAGCTGATTGTTTTTTGTTTCCCTTTTGCTTCTTTGATAGACCCTCTTTTTGGCGACGACATTGGTTGCTCAATTCAGACGGATGGATTTTTATATCAGTATCATCACCAAGTGGGGTGTGAGATCCCTTAGTGTCAATAAACACTCCAGAGCTTGGGGTGTATGCCTACTCACCAGTTGTAGAAACATCAAAGAATAGTATGTCCATGTCATTGGCCAATGTCAATGGCTTCTCACGAAATTTGGCCGCATCAGAATACCTCTATAACAAAATATGGACATATAATTACAAATATATAAATCATAAGGCTCAAGTACAAGTGAGCAAGAAAAAAAATTAACATAATTCACTGACCTGCAGCTTCAAATTCCACCAATCATCAGATGCCATGATAGCCCCAGTCAAGGGATCTAACTCTAGCCCAGTCTCACCTCTCAATAGATTTTTCCAAAGATCCCACTCCTTTTTTAAGGTATCCCAACGATTTTTAAGCTGAAGGCGAACATATAACGTTCCAGTTGCAATTTTGAACTTGTTAATAACTGCTTCCCAACCAACCCTATCTAAGTGTGTACCAAGTCTGTGACCTGCTTTCACTTGCTCCACACAAAGTTTGACAAAAATTTCAATGGATTTTGTGTCCCAATGTGCCTTTAAACTTTGTGAGGGTTCGGAGTTTTGGGAAGTTTTTCCCTTGCTCTTTGTAGTTGTTGGAGATTGTGATGGTGGTTGGGTACTCATTTTCTATTAAACAAACCATAATAATAAAATCACTTGAATTGCAACAATGGTTTGAACAAACCCTTACTCATATTATTAAAAACCATATGAACAAAAAAACAAAAAAAAACAATCGAAACCAAGTTAATTTTACCTGGGCGTGTCCCATTTTGAAAACATTGGATATGAACAACATGAATTAATAAGAACATGTAAACAAAATAAACTTCAGAATAACAGTGAAAATAAAGGCACATAATCATTCCAACAAGTAAAGAAAATCACTGTTGTCATTTTCCTACACCTAAAAGCAATTGTATCAAGTATTTGTACACTGTGATGGTGGTTGGCTACTCATTTTCTACTAAACAAACCATAACCAAAGAATATTCTGAATATCATATGGAAAATATATATATATATATATATGTTTGTGTGTATGTGTGCGCGCGCCTGTGTGTGTGTGTGTGTGTGTGTGTGAAGCACTCCTTCAAAGCATGAAGAAGACACTAGCATGATTGGGTTCAAGGGCACATGCCAATCACTTCACCTTTTTTTTTTGGGTTTTGAGCATACATGAGCCCTCCAAATCATATACAAAGAACTAGGACTCTGGAGTACTAATTTAATTAGCACAAACAAGTGTCATTGTTCAAAAATCAATTTCAAAACATTTCAGACTTTAAGATACTAATTGTATAACACAAATATCAAATTCACATCTCCAACATTAATAAACCAAAAATCAATGCAACGACAGTCAACATCCTACACAAATTTTTAACATCAAAGCATGAATAAAATTTCCCCAAATTTTTCCTAAACCTAAATATTCTTATTTTCCCCAATTTCAACAAATTTGAAATAGACAAAATCACAAATAACCAAAACAATACATATATATATATATACATGCATGTCGAATCTAAAACAAAAGAGAAGAGGAAAAATCGAAAGAGATGAAGGAAAAGAGGTGAATAGAGAGAGCAAAAGTGTGAGAGAGAAAGAGAGAAGAGAGAAAAGATCCAAAGTCGGAAACGAACCAGAGCCGCAGGTCGCCGAAAACAAACTAGAGTCGCACGTCGCCAGAGGCAAACCAGCGCCGGAAGCGAACTAGAGCCGCACGTCTTGTTGTTGCATTTTGCTGCTTGCTACTGCGTTCTTCTCTTGTCAGAGAGAAGATTAGGGCTAAAAAGAATATATATTGGTGGTATAAGATTAAATATTTCAAAACATTAAGGATATTTAAGTAATTTCAACTCTTCCTCTCTTTTCAACCAAAAAAAAAAAAGAAAAAAGCTATGGAAGCTAAAGCTCTTGGCTTTAATTTTAACCAAACAGTCTTTAGTAGATTTTAAAATGCCAAAATCAGTAATCTGCTCAAAATAAGCTAGAGCAAACACCCCATTTATCTCTATCTACTCCTACTTCTTTGCAGCCTTATTCTTCTTCCTTTTCACATTCTACTTCTTCAAAGTCTGCTCCTCGTTATATTTCTATTTAGTCTATCTATATTGACATTCATTTGGCTCCTCCTCCTGCTCCAACTCCTTCTAAAGTCTCTCCTCCTAATGTTCATCATATGGTCACAAGATCGAAAGCTCATCACTTTATTTGTCTTTCTACTACTTCTTTTCTCACTACTAAGCCTTCCACAATCAAAGAGGCTATCTTCTCCTATTTGGGTAATTGCTATGCAAGAGGAATTTGCTGATCTTTAGCACCAATGTACTTGGGATCTTGTTCCTCTTCCACCAACCAAAACTGCAATTGGCTGTAAATGGGTTTTTTGGATCAAAAAAGAACTTGGATGGCAGCATTACTCGATACAAACCCAGGTTAGTGGCTAAAGGGTCCTTACAACAAGAGGGCATTCACTATCAAGAGACTTTTAGCCCTGTTGCCAAACAATCTACCATTCGTATTTTGCTCCCTTTGGTTCTACATTTTCAGTGGCCTTCAAAACAACTTGATATTTCAAATGCTTTTCTTCATGGAAAACTTAAGGAAAAGGTTTTTATGATTCAACTCCCAGGTTTTGTCAATTCTGCTACTCTCACTCATGTTTGTAAATTGAAGAAAGCTCTTTATGGTCTTAAGCAAGCCCCTAGAACTTGGTATTCTACTTTCTTCACCTTTCTTCTCTTAGGGTTTTCTTAATAGCCACTCAGATTCGTCCTTGTTTGTCAGAAAATGTGCTACTCGCATTACTATTCTTCTCAGCTATGTGAATGATATACTTCTAACTGGGTTTACTGTTCTTGATCAACTCTTTCATCATATGCATCAAGCTCTTTCCATGAAGGAATTGGGTGATATCTCTTATGTCTTTGGCATCTCTGTCCAAGCTCAAAATCATGGTTATTTTTTATCCCAACAAAAGTATGCTTCTGAATTACTCTCTAAAGCATGAATAGTGGACTACAACCATGTGCAGTTCCTCTTTCTCTCAAGCCTTCTTTTTCAGCATCTAATGCCTTGCCCTTTGCCAATCCCTCATTTTACAGAAGTTTAGTTGGTGGTCTTCAATATCTTACTATTACTAGACCTGATTTGGCTTTGGTTGTTAATCAAGCTTGTTAGCATATGCACTCTCTCACAAATGGTCATTTTTGTGCTGTCAAACATTTGCTCAAGTATATCAAGGCTACTCTTTCTCATGGCCTACTGTTTTCTTCTGGTCCTCTGGTTCTTCAAGCATTTTCAAATTCAAATTAGCCTGGTGACCTCTATGATAAGAGGTCTACCTTTGGGTTTTGTATCTTTCTTGGCTCCAATTTGGTTTCTTGGTCTGCTAAGAAGCAAAATACTATGTCTCACCCTTCCATTGAGGCTGAATATCCCTCATTAGCCCATACTGTTGTAGAGCTTTGTTGGCTTCACCAACTGCTCAAAGACCTGTTTGTGTCATTCTTTGTTCCCACTTTTCATTATGACAATCTCTTAGACATGACCTTAGCCACTAATCCAATTTTTCACTTTCGCCCCAAACACATTGAAAGGGTTATTACTAAGCTTCTTGCTCTTAAGTTTGTTCCCACTGAGCTTCAGCTTGCCGATCTGTTTACCATGCCTTTAGCTTTCCCCTCACTTCTATTTTCTTAAAACCAAGCTCATGGTGCAGCCTTGCTCCATTAGCTTGACGGGGGATAATAAGAATATCAGAGAATCAGCCCATAGATCCACAAAACAATCCAACCTGAAGTGTGCACAAGTGTCACAGCTCAAGTCAGCTCATGAAGGATAGCAACCTCACATGCATACCTGTAACAGTTAGTTAGGATGTTAGATAGTTTGTTAGTTTGTTATACAAGTGTGTATCAGCCAAGTGAGTTAGCTGGAATAGATGTATATTGATTACAAGATCTAGGATTGTATATAAACATCTGTAGAACTATTCATTTGTATATGGAATAAGAATTTCATCAAGATACTCAGTGTTGAACACTATAAAATTGGTTCTAATTGTTTCATATGGATGTTCAATGTCAAACAAAATATATTTATCCAGATACTTAATTCCAAACATGTGAAGTTTGTTTGGATCCTCAAGTTCGAACAATAGAAAATTGGTTTAAGATATGGATACTCAGTGCCAAATAAAATACATTTGTTTGGATACTTAATTCCAAGCATGTGAAATTTGTTCAGATACTCAGTGCCAAATCAATTCAAAAAATCAATGTACAAAAAACAATAAATAACAATTAAAAACTTACTTTCTCTATAGAAAATTGCTTGGAAACGTCTTCTTTATTATCCATTGTTGATTTCAACATGAAATAGAATGCAAGAATGATGGATTAAAACAAATAGGGTTGGATTAGAGTTAGGTATGAAGATGCAAAGTGATGAGAGTAGGAAGAGAAGAAAGAAAAAGAATATTGAAGCTGACGATGAATGGGGTGTCCAAAACACTTTTATTTATACTTTTTCTAAAGTCAAGTACTTTTTGGTCATTTTAAATAGGGACTTAATAGTAATTAAAAAAATAGCATTAAATTGGGATGCCCAACTCACTTTTTGGGGTGCAAATAGAAGCTTTGTAACCAAAGCTATTCTTATATATATACACTAGTGGTTGACACATGCAATGATTGTGCAACTAGTTGTTAGCAACAATTCAGTTTAGGGTCAATCCGCATAGTTTTTACAAAACAAAAATAGATTAAACAATATAGTTGAGTTACATACATTAAATAGGCCAAAGATTCATTTGTGTTGGAAAAAATGGTTTTTTGGTAACTTTAATGTGAAATTAAAGTAGGTCCCTACCATTGGTTAAGGTGTGATTAAATGGGTTTTAGATTCTTTATAACAAGGTCTTTACACCACAAAAAGAATGACCAAAAATCATTAAAAATTAAATGAGAAATTGTCTCATAAAGATGGTCTCAAGAATGAAGTATTGGGAATTATGTATAACTACTAACCCCACGTTGATTGTAGGAATAGGTATTTAAACCTTAAGATTTTGATAAGGGCATGAGCCCTTTTGGGCATCCAAATTTTTCGGAAGAATGGAGGTATGGATGCTTCAATGATGAGTTTAGGTCAAGACTATGGTCTAAGTTGGGTATAAAAAAATTGCCGCATGCGTGCCTCTCACCAGCCCGAACCGGGCTGGGTCCTGGTCCGCGGATCGTGGATCTTGGATCTTGGGCTTGCAGCTTGCTGGAATGGGTTAGGTTTGGGCTAGGCTGGATTGGTGGTCCACCAACCTAATCCTTTTGGGCCAAGTCTGCTGCAGATATACACACTTGTGTGTACAGAATATATATCTCAAATATTATTATCCCATTAGTTTTGGTCCATTACTCCAGCAGTTTTACAAGAGTAATGGACATTGGTCGCTAGCCTTCAGGAGCATTGGTTAGTAGCCTTCATGGCTAGAGGCTCCTTCTCTCTCCTCCATGGTATATAAAAGGAGATTTATCTCCCTTGGTTTTGGTACAAATTTTTTGCTTCCCAAATATATACAGTTAGTTTGCTTCTACCTATAATTTTTCTTCCTGTGTGAG